AAAGCCACAGAATAAAATTTACATAATATTCCTAAAATTTATTAGCACCCTTATAAGCTTAAGCACGAGGAGTGCTGAGAAAATAGAGCTGCAAGAAAAGAAAAAAAAAAAAGGGAAAATTAATGTGCTAAGAGTTTTGAGAATTTAGTGCAGATATATTAAAAAAAGATTGGGATGATACAGTCACACGGGCGCCTCCTCATCTAGCTCTTTTGATTATTATTTTTTCCACTTTCTTATCCCTCTCCACTCAAAGTTGTCTTTTAACTGCAATAAATTCAACATTTCTTACTCAGTATACAGTATCTCCCCTTCAGCATGACTCTTTGCCCCTCTACCTTCCACCTCTTTCTGCATCTTCCTTGCTCCCTCTCATGTCTGCTTGTTGCTGCAAGGGACACGGCGATGGAGGCTGACCAAGAAATTATACTGCCTACAGCATGACGGGAGCAGCTGTCCCATTACAACTACGAAGATGACTACAGATGCTAACAATGCATACCCAGTGTAACACACACACACACACACACACACACACGGAAGGTGAATACCTGAACAGGCCTAGCTTATAGGTGTATTCATGTGTGTTCACCCCCTAGGTGGAGTCAACCTTTTATATGCCTCCTTCTCGAGACTCTCATGCAGGGATCTGACCCGTTTTCTCAGCCTACAGAAAATCTAGCAGCTTTCTCCAAAGTTGGTTGTGTTTATATCCGTATCACCACGCTGCCATAAAGTTATAAATAAATTAATAAATAAAATGACACACAGGAAGAGCAAAGGCTGAGCTCCTGCAAACACTATATTAGTGCTGCAATCTAATATAATGACAGACTTTAGTTATATTTCATGTATTGAAACAAATGTTTACAAATACAACTGTTTAAACTATAAATAAAAGCACAAGTAGAGCAGGGTGATATGACCAAAAATATTTATCACGATATATACATTTGAAAATTTGCGTTAACGATATAACTAATGATATAATTGACACTAGACAAAAAAAACTTTACAACTTCTCAACTTTATTAGTGCAAAAAACCCCAAAACAAAACATCAATGTATTTTCACTTAAACAAGCAGCTGTTTTAAGTGCATTAAAGTTATATAAAAATCTAACAGTGCAAATGCAAATTCTTTGCTGACAGCTTAACCAAAAGGCATTTCCAGTGGAAATTGGCCGACATATCCTCAGCATAACCATGTATAATATCCACAAAACTTAAAAAGAGGTTATACACGCACAATACGGTAATATTATGTTGAAGCACAGTACGTATCACTCCGCCAGGCTCCTGCCTACGATAGCCGTAATGCTCCGACAATCCATCAAGCAGTGCGGGTTCGTAGCTTAGCAAAGTCGTACTAAAACATTTGACAGATTTTCGAGCGCCGTGCACATAAAATCGTTTTGAGGTCAGTAAACACAACCAGAATTCATACATAAGGCACACTGGATTATAAGGGGCACTGTCGATTTTCAGAAAAATCTAAGGATTGATTTTAAGTGTGCCGTATTTTCCAAACAACACGGTAATAACGACGGCCCGCTATCATGCTCTACCAAAAATAGTGCTTTGTTGTGTATCTGACGGATGAAAGCCAAACCAGTTCCACACCACTCAAGTTGCAGCATTTTTACAAACCAATTCTGGTTCATCTATTTCATTTAATGATCCACTTTCACACTGCGCATGCGCGTTTTACCCACATTCTATCGCAATATTTCATTTTCCTATCATTGCCCAACATTACACCGGTATTACTGTGAACGGTATGATATAGCCCAGCCCTAAGCACAACGCAAATCTCATGAACTTGGATTTATTCACAATAGAACAATGAAACCTGAAATTGAAATTGACGCCAGCAACACGTCTCTAAAAATTTGAGCTGCCAACTTCTGTGAGAGAAATCTATTCCCATTCTCGTCTGATATCAGATATATATAGCTGCTGAACCTCACGGCTTACTTACTCCACCTTACTAATGTTTTCTACAGGCAGACCAGTTCAGCACCTGGACTCTTCGACAGCAAAGCCATGCTGTTGTAATAGATGCAGCATGCAGTTTAGTATCATCTTGCTAAAGGCATTCCCTGAAAGGCTTTCTGGATGGGAGCATGTGATAAACTAAAACCTCTGGACATCTTTCATCATTAATTGTGTCTTTCCAGATGTGCCAGCTGCCAGTTCTATGTATGTATGTAAGTATGTATTGTATGTATATAGGTATTAATGCATGCAGGTACCATCAGACATTAGCACGGAGGTCCCTCTCTGCTTTAATCTAGAGACTGCAGTGTCCATGTTTTGCACAATGCTAATCATTCTGACAACAGAACAGTTTTCCACTTTGTCTCAGTCCATTCACATCTTCATGTGTGTCTTGGTTCTTTGCACGATAGCGCTTTAACCTGCATTCATGAACCGCACGATGAGCTGTGCTCACAGATAATGATTTCTGGAAGTCTTCCTGAGCCCAAGCAAGCAGCTTACAGGCATTTACAGGCATGAATTTTGACCTTGTCCCTTACATACGGAGATTTCTGCAGATTTCCAAAATCTTCTGAAGTTATTATGGGCCATAGATTATGTAGATGATGGGATATTCACAGGCTTTTCATTTTTAGATTGAGGAACATTTTTCTGAAATTATTGCACAATTTGTAGAGTGTTTTTTGCATAATGGAGAATCTCTGCCTAAGATGCTCTTTTTATACCCGATCATGTTACTGACCTGTTGCAAATCAAGCCAATTAGCGGAAAAAAAATGCTCCTGCGGCTGTTTGTTTTCGGTATTACTCATTTTTCCAGCCAATAAACCAACATTGCTGGTGACGTAATCAGAGCCTGAAAGTTGTGTATTATAAAAAAGAGAGCACTGAATAAGTACTCACCACTGCTGTCTCTCGGGCTTCTCTTGTTTCATGCTCTCATACAGAACTGTCAGTCCCCAACTAAAAATAAACATACAAATCACTTTAACAGCAATCCAGCTTCTCAAGATTCACAGTGTCAGCCTGCCCCCTAGTGGTCACTCTGCTTACAAGGCCCAAACAGCTACTTCAGATAAAGAAACTGTAGAGTTCGTAAATTAATAATTCAAGTTTAGTCGTTAATTATCCCTTTAAGCATGAGCCGAGCTGCAGAAGTTGCTCTGTGTAAACTTTTAAAGTTATGAAACAAGGAAGCTCAAGGGCATCAACCAATTTGGTTCAAGCTAACAAAACTGAGGTAATTTGAGATCAAAAAGATGCATTTTGATCAGTAGGGGTAGCACTAGCTGCTCCCGCCAACAGCAATGTAGTGCAGAGGTGTTACACTTGTATAAAGCTGGAGAATGAGTGGCCAGATATCCAATTATTCATGATCAGATAATCCCAGAAAATTGATATTCCCAGTAAATACATTTTTTGTGCCCACTGAAGCGATAATTTGCATGGCCAGTTATCCTCCTGGTGTGACAGCAGTTTCCATTTACAGCAGCCACCTGCTGCTTTGCCACTAAGGACTCATGAGAATAGCGTGACACTGGTAATTCAGCACAGGTGCTCACCATGTGGGAGGACGGAGTTTCTTCTTTATACCAAGGTAAACCTTCAAGTTTTTCACTGGCCATTCACGTTCTGGACGGTTACTCTGACAGACAGTGGGGGAAAAAAGGAAAAATTAGTTAACGAGTCTACGAAGGAGATAACAAATAAAACGATAAAAGTATGTCTGTAGATCTTACTCTGACGTCCTTGTACATTCTGAGCGAGTTGTAATTGAGGATGAAATAACGCTCATGAAAACTGGTGAGGCCCAAACCCAAGATGCTTCGCTCCTCTCTGAATTTTATCATCCCGTGCTTGGATGCGTCCGGTTTACTGGCTGCAGGACAGAAGGCCAGATAACTGAAATTGATGCAAGCATGCCACAATGTGGCAGACCAAACAGTGCAGCAATGATTCTGTTGTTTTGTATTTACACAGGTAAAGAGTGATGGCCTCCATTGCAGCATGTTTCTTGATAAGCAGATGAGACTCTGTGCCGATGGAGTGAACAATGGGCAAGACTCGCTCCTGATAGTGCAGCGGTCGTTCTGAAAAACAGAGCATGCAGAAAGAGAGCATGTGTGAAAACATGATGCAAACTTGGGGCATTTCTGGATGACAAAGAACTTTGCAAATCTGCATTCCTCAATAGGGTCAAAGTGTCAGACAAACATGCTGAGCGCTTGATGACATAACTGGTACAGCTTCATATTTTTGGATGCTATAAATACATATTTCCGTAAATCTCACCTTACATCCTGGAAGAATTTTGTTTTGTAAATCTACATACCAATCTGTAGTAAATGACACCGTCTGTAGCAGTAAATTCCTTCCTTCTCTTCCCATCAACAACAACAATTTCCTTCAATTTCTCATCATTACTGCTCCATTTCCTCTTTAATCTGCAGATTACTGCTACTGTCATTTTCATACTGTCGCTTCCTTGTAGGGAACCAGACAGGTCACATACCAGATGCAAAACAAACTGCAGTTTGCAGCCACACTGTTGCAGGCAATTTATTTTTTTTGCATTAGTCCTAGTAAACTGTCATTTTCCAAAGCAAAATAGCCCTGTACCATATTAATGAAAAAACAGAATAATTAAGACATAGGGTTTACAAAATACCCTAAAAATTCTAAATCTGCATCAGCATTAAAAAAAATGCTGTGTTTGGCATTTGTCCTGCCTCCCTTCATCTTTTTATCAGTCTTACCCATTTCTTCCTTGCAGCAGATCTCCCAGCAGCTCCAGTAATCTTTGTCTTTAATTGGGATGTTCCGCTGGTCCAGAATCTCCAGTGTGAGCTCTAATGCTGTCATAGAACCAGGAATCTGTGGGAAGAGTGGAAATATTTGTTTTCTATAAACACCAGCCTGTTCGTTACTGTGGAACTTGATGTGTGCCAGATGAAAGAACTGGGTTGTTAAATAAATAAATGTGTTATTTGGTGAATTCCAACCCACCTTCACATGTCTCTCTCCACTGGCCTTTTCCTCCAGGTACACAGTACAAATGAAGTCACCTCCTCGTTCAGAAGGAGGCTGAAGTTTAGGGCACACAAGCAAACAAATGATCAGACAGAAAAACTGCGATGATAAAAAAAGCGTATACACAGATAACCAAATGCAGTGTTCAAACAAGTCGAAACACTTCACACAACACATTTCACTGAGATCAACTGAACAATAATAAAGGTTAATTACACAGGCAGGTGATAAACTAGAAATTAACATAATAAATTAAGTGCAAAGTTTGGTGGAGGGGGGATTATGGTGAGTGGTTGCTTTTCTAAGACTTGGGTTCGGCGCCTTAGTTTCAGTAATGAACCCTTAACACATTCAGGATGAATTACAAACTGCAAGCCGCTTCACATCCAACATTAGCATCTGACCTCACAAATGTGATTCTGGTCAAAAATTCCCATAAACACTCTCCTGAATGTTGTGGAAAGCCTTCCTAGAAGTGTTGAAGCATCATATTAAACACTATAGATTAAGATTGGGATGTCAATCAAGTCCGTGTGTGTGTGATGGCTTTTGGAAATATGATGTATCCCAGCGGGATAGAAAACTGATCCAGAAGAATTTCCTTCATTTGCTGATATGTTCTGATGATGGCTGTGGAAATGACTGTTTAATCTCACCGAAGAAATCCACCAAGTTTATTATAATTAACTAAAACTAAGCTAAAAACTGAAACTGCATGGGAAAAAATTCACACTTTTACCAAAGCTGGACTTCTGAAAAAAAATTCTAAGTGACACAATTTGAAAAACTAAACTAAAAATATAGAAGAAATATTCTTAGTTTTAGTTCTGTGTTTATATTGTAATATTTTCAATGATTTTCCTAAATCTTGCCTCTGAAATATGTCAGGTCACTGAACCATTCTTTGTTTAAAGTTTATTGTATGTTGCTCACATTTTTCAAATTCCGCATTTTGTGGATAACTTCAATCACTTCTATCTGCTTGTTCAGCTGCTGCTCATCCACCTGCAAGAGAGCATAAGCAGAGTAATTCAACCACAAATAAAAATGTATCAACATTGAAGAATCAGTGCAGGTTTTAAAAGTGCAGAATCACTGCATGCAAGGAGAACATTGTGTTGTAATCACAGTGAAGCTTGATCTTTAAGATAAAAAGATAAGACGAACACTTAGACCTCTACACCACTGAAAAGTGTTTTTAAATCCCTGATGTGTTAGCATAGAAGCATTACCACCTTTGTTATCAGCACTGACCTCAAAGATGAGTTTGTAGTGCTCAATGAGGTCTTCAATGGCGCGGCCAGCGGCATAGTCCTTCCCGTCAGTCTGGAACAGTGTGGGACCGAACACGATGGCCAGATTATGGTTGTTCATCTGGTTGTCATCCGAAAAGTGCTGCACGCTGAAACACAAGCGGTAAAAAACCCCCACACAAGTCTGTGCACAAATACATACTCAGGGAGAGGTGATAAGATGGTATCAGTCACTGTGTATCAGTTCTCACCAGTAGAGATGCTCGATAAGGGCTTGTAGTGTTGCCTTGTTGACATGAGGCAGTTTGTTCAAGAACTGCTTGTACTGGGAGATTTTAGTACTTTCATCCTGAATGGCTGGGGAAGAGAGAAGAAGATGAGGAGAAAAGTAAAAGTATTAAATAAAATTATGAACACAGAGGATATTTATAGTACAAACGGCCAGGATCAAAGAAAGAGCTGGGAGTGTAAGATGGAACGAAAAAAAATAATTTAATAAAAAAAAAAAAAAAGCACAGGACGAGAGCACAAAAGATCAAAACAGGGAGAAAGGCTGAAGAGAGGCCTGATGAAAAAGGACTCTAGACTTCTAAAACAAAGAGCATTTTTGTTTAAACTGGCATGTATATATTAAAAATGGCCAGCAGTGTGTAGGTCTTTGGTTGAAAACAATAACAAGATGATGGTACCAGACACACAGCTGTAGCATATCTTTAAACTCATTCTCTTTGCACTGTATGCTCAATTTAGCTTCAGTGTTAAAACAAAACAAAACACTAGAATTACAATGACAAACATATCATTAAATCCCTGCAATACTAGCATTATATGCTCATTTTCAATTTGAAACCAGTACATTGTCAAATGCTTATGTTACTGGGGCAAAAAAGACTGGAAAAGTTGTGCTAAAAGCTGTTTTCGGTGTAAGACTACAAATAGTAAGAGGCAGTTATGTACTGCAATAATTTCGATTGTTGAAAAATCCCTAAACAATGACGCCCAACATCAACACTAAACACCCAAACCCAAGATAAAATACAAAAGGGTTGGGGTCCTTCCTTGTAAACTAGATTAAAGTGCAGAGGGACTAAAAGCTACAGATGAGGACAGATGAGGACAGATGAGGACCCTCCTCATGAAAGTTTAAAACTTACACAAAAAAAATTAAAAGGTTTCTGTTAAACATAGCAAGCGATTTTTAAAACACAGCTTTCCCAAACATCCTAGTTTTGTTTTGGATGTTTAGTTTTTTGTTTTTATTTTTTACATTGCACACAGAAACTAAATTGTTTCACAAAAAACAAAAAACTACCAGGGTCAAGGTTATTAATAGTTATTTGCAAATCCTTTTTACTGGAAAACAGCCTGCTGTCATTTGCTGTAGTTGTCAACAAGACCCACACTCGTCTCCCGAGCGAGACTCTCTAAAGCTTTACACAGGCTGGTAGTTGTTCATCAGGTGCGATGTATGTTTTGAGTCACTGTTGTGTTGGAAGACAAAGTGATGACTGAGATCCAGGTTTGCTGCCAACTGTTTGAGGTTTTCTTTCAAAATCTTCACATATCCTTCACTCTTCCTTCCATTTTGACAAGATGCCCACTTCCAGACGTTATGAAGCATCTCCACAGCATAATAGTCCCACCACCATGCTTCACTGCGGGGACGGTGTTCTATGGGTTGACGCCTCTCCATTTTTTCTCCAAACATAAGTCACTGTGGCTAAAGAGCCTTTGTTTCGTCTCATCTCATCTGACAAAAGGACACACTCCCATATGCATAATGTTTCTTCAGGTTGTCCTTAGCATGCTTTAGTCTGTCTTGAAGGTACGTCTTCTGCAGAAGTGGACTTTTCCTTCATCTGCAACCTCACGGTTCCTGCGCAGGTTTCTAGTGACAGTCTTCTTTGAGAGTAGGAAATCCAAGTCGACTAAGTTATTCATGAGTGTCTTGACAGTTGTTCTGTGGTCTTTGGACACATCTCTCACAGGTTTTCTTTAATGAATCTTTCACTTCCTGCCTCTGTCAGGCTTGTTGTGTGCTGTGTGTCACTTTCCTAATGATAGTTCTCACTCCAGTTCTTGACACTTGGAAACACTGTGATAACGATGTATATCCATCTCTGCTTTATGAGCAGCCATAACTCTTTATTACAAGTCTAAACTGCTTTCTTGTGTTTTTGACATGATGCTTTCTCAAGTGACTGCTCAAACAGTCTACAAGGGTACAAAGTTTAAGTTAAAGCACATTAATTCACAGCAATGGTTTGTACTAAGGCTCATAAAGCTCAGGGTCATAACATGAGCCTGTTAGTTATTGTTTTTCTCCAAAATAATTCTGTTATTGTGTGCAAACAGAAATTTGAAAATAGAAATGCTATGTTGAAATTTGCTGCCCTGTTAAAAAAAAAGCGACATTGATTTTCGGCTAATAATTTTGTAATGTATTCACATGCTAAATGCCACAAAATGCATGTCTGTAAAGGGACCATGACAGGTCATCCGCCATACAGATGACTTCTTAATCCAGGAAGGCCTTGCTTGTTTTGGCATGGCAATACTAAACCAGCTCAGGTTTTAGAACAGCATGGCTCCAAACTGGCCTGTCAGTGTGTCTCTCAGCAGATGCAGTATCATGATATCAAAACATCAGAAAAACTAATTTGCCCCTTTTAAGGAGAGCCACAGGTGTCTGATCTATACATGTTTTACAGGATACTCAAAGCTCGTAAAATAATAAGAAACATAGGAATCATGAAGAAACAAAATCGTATGACTCTTACTTGCAGTGCTGAGCCAGGAGGGGGAGTCCTGTGTTGTGAACACTCCCTCTTTCAACTCCCTGAAAAACCGTTTGAGTGTGTTAGAGACGTCGTCCACCTGATGCTCTCCTTCCCTTAGGCAAAGGCTGCGAGCATCGTGACGAAACCTCTCGCACAGAGCTGCCACACGAGAGTTCACGCCGCTCTTGCGATAAATTCCCTCTGACACCATACCTAGAGATGGGACATTAACAAGCACACACAAAAACACACAGAGTAGAATGTTACACAAACACAGACTTAAACCGGAAGAAACAGCTCTTTCACCACTGACAAAAGAAAACAAAAGTTCCTCAAACTTAATCGTTATATTGCATCTTCTAACATTCAGAACATTTAATGCATCAAGTGTTTCGCCTCAACACTGCAACGATTGGCCTCTGAGGGCTTGGAAACATTGAGCTGACTGACATCTGAAGGCAAAGCAAAAACAACAACGAGGGGAAAAAAGAAAAAAAAAAAAAAATCACATGAGCAGAGCTGCTAGCGGTGAGGCCAGAAGGCCAATATGTCAAACGGTGTCAACCCACAAAGAGAGAAGTGTGATGCAGCTGCACTTCTCTACAATGAGTGCAGATAATTAAAACAATGGACCTCACACACCACACTGAGAGCAAGTTAGGCCCATGTCCACTCGAGGAAATAAGAGTCATGTTATTTCCTCTATTTTATCTTTGTCTACTTTGAACTGTTGTACATGTCAAGTTTTTCAAGCTGTGAACTCATGCAAGAGATGTAGCACAAGCAACTCTGCCACTCTGGTGAAACCAATGTTCAAGCTGTACAGCTATATAAAAGATGAGGAGAAAGATGGTTCTTCCATGGATAGATCCAGTGGAATTTAACACAGTAAACTTAAGGTCCAACTATTATAGCCACATGAGTTCAGAGAAAGATAGAAAAGGTTACAGTTCATGCTGAACCAAGAGCCTGGATTTTTGTTTGTGTGCTGAACGATGATGGTTAACTAAATTTTATGTTATACAAATGTTATATTATCAATGCTTACCATGATATGAGGTATGACTTGTGTTGTAAGGAGTCGTCTTTGTTTGGTTTGTTATGTAAGTAATGTTGCATATATGTGTGAATGTTTTATAGTGCACTGTCAAAATGTAACACAATAAACAAAACTAAAGATGCATGAAGTACATATTTACTTCACAAAAATGGTTTCTTATGTGTGTGTGAGTGTGTGTTTCTTACCACACTGTGTGATGTAGTTAATGCAGCTATCTACGATCACCGGTATGTCCGTCTCCGTGAGCTGCTGCTCGTGCAGCCTGTCTCCTCCACTCCCTGCAGCTGCCTGGATAGCTGCACACCAGCAAGAAAAATCCAGCTTTCTCTTTCCTTCTATGTACAGAGTTCTAAAAAAAAAGAGAAGAAGAAACAAATAAAGAAGAAAGAAGAATTAATAGATGAGTATGTGAGGGAAAACTGTTTCATCATTAGGAATATCTATAAAAAATAAACAGGTTAATCTTTAAAGGGGTTTCAAACTGTAAGAATAATTTGTCAATCAACGCGCAAATGATCCGTTCTCACCTGCCTTTCCCCACCAGAACCATGACTTCATTGTCTTGCTGAATTGCTGTAAAACACAAATACAGGGTAAGAACTGTTGTGCTCTAATCGCTGAGCACTCGCACAGTGATTAAATCCATGTTTGCGTGTCTTACTCACATAGTTCGTTCAGTTTGCGGAGGTGGATCTCCTCCACCTGACTGCCCTCCAGGTAAACGTGAAGTACAGACCCCTCCAGAGCAAACCACCCAACTTTGGACCTTTGTAGGTTCAAGCCATCTTTGCACATCAGCTTCCCAATCCTCTCAGAATTCAATCTCAGCAAAGGTTCTGCAGAGACTGGAATAAAGGCCTACAAGCAAAGGACATACGGCGTTTGTACTGAAGCTTCTTTAGGCTGCTCCCTTTTCAAAAACGGGAAAGAGCTCCACATATTTTGATCTGGCAGATTTTTACGCCTAAGGATCTTCCTGACGCAATCCCCAAGGGATCTGTGCCTCCTCCTGGTCTCAAACCAGGGTTTGTACAAAATCATCCTTGCCCTTCTTTTTTATTATGAGCTACATTTTATTTTATTTCATTTAAATTCAAGCTTTTAAAAACGAATACTATTTGTCACTGCTTGAAGAACACAGTGCGGGCGGCAACAAATTCAGCCTCGATTCTGGTTACATTCTGTCCAGTTACTATCTCGGCCTTCTCCCCAAGAGCTGTGGAAAGAGACAATCCTCCACAAAACTGGTTGTGTCACAGGTTGTTCATGACCTTGTGCATAACTCTGACACATCTGACTGGTCTCACAATAACTAATGAAATTTGAGTGCACACACTTTGCCCTTTCAGCCGTTGAGATAAAATGACTGTTGTTTCATTTCACACGATCACGTCAGTCGTAAAGAAAGTTGTGCTTTGATAAAATAAACAACAGCGAGCACTGTCCTGATCACTGACACCAAGCTTAATCTGCTAACACCACTTATAAGAGCTTTCTTATTTGACTAGAAATAAAGAAAAATCACAAATCTCTCCGTTAAGCTGAATATATGTATTTGATTGTTACCTTGGCGATAGACTTGACCCACTGGGATTTGACTTCTGAGTCATCGGTGCCAAACAGGTAGAGACGCTCAGACTCTGTATAAATTTCAAATGTATTGTTATACCTGGGGGTGGGAGAAAAAAAAAAAAAAAAAGAGGTTAGAAGAGCAGACACTGGGAAATTTAAGAAAGAGAAGGAGGAGACATACGATTCATCTCGCTTAACATTACAAGGTGTCATTGCATTTTTGCTGTAAATGTGCATTTACGACGGACAGTGTGTGGGTGTTTGCGTACCCATGTCTGTCGTCGTTGTCGGAAGCCAAACACACGATCTCTGAAGCCTTGAGAGCTCCATTTGGGTTTGAGTTCTTGTCACTTTCGTAGTAGCTGAAAACGCCATCATTTAGCGTGCACCAGCGACGACTGAACTCTATATTGATAGACAAATAAATATTTGCCAAGCATAATAGTGATAATCACTTTAACTATTCTTTCTTCTTGTGGTAAGTGTTGCTGTTGTAGAGTGTTTGTGCTTACCCTCTTTGGCCTTGCGCTCTGTGACTGGCCGAGCCATGGATGCAGTTTTGAATAGGAAGCCATTGTGAGACACGGAAGGAGGTAGTGGGTAAGGTTCTGGGTCCATAGCATCCACCTCCTCTAACCGTGGTAGCTCTACAGAAAAACATTGTAAAGAATTTGATTGTATGAAAGTAAAGAAGTGTTTACGACACACTCTTACGGTCTCTTAAACTTTTAAACCCTGTTGAAATGGCCCCTCCCTCATTTCTCAACACTCTGCTTTGAGTTCTTACCTCATAGTTGAACTATGTTTTGCTATGACTGTAGTCACCCACTCTTAAAATGTCAGTGCCTTGATCCATCTGACGTCACCAAATATCAACCAATTTCTAAATTACCTCATTGCTAATACCAAGATTATTATAGTTAACTAAAAACTAACCTAAACCACATCTTAGTTCACTATAAAATAAAAAGTAGACTTTAGAAGAAAATGTCAACTAACAAATGATATAAAGTATTACAACTTGCCTGATGAGGCTTTGATGGGAGTGTTTATTGAGACTTTTGATGTCTACAAGACTGAGTCAATGACTTTTTAAAAGTTCTGTTAACTAGAATCAGGGGGCTGTTAAACAAAAGCTAAACATGCTTTACACCAACAACATGCCTCTAAACTAGCCTGCCTGCAATCCAGACCTGTGACCCACTAAAAACATGTCACACATTTAGAAAATGAAAGACAACACAAGCAACAAGGAGCACCTCCTATGTGAAGCAAGACTGGGGAAACACTGTTCAGCTGATTACAGGTTCAGTAAATCGCTGCATTCTGCTCTCACTTAGAGCTTAATAAGCATTCAAACTTCTTGGATTGCAGAATTGATATTAAGGGTCCACTCATTATTTCAAGATCCTGTTGATTACTGAAGCAAAAACAATTTTAATGTCAGGGAAACACAATTTTTGAATGACCTAACTGAGAGGATCCAAATTACAAAGCCAACTGCTTTGTATAAAATCCTTTTTAACGTATCCCTCCAGTCCGTTCTCGTTTCCAGAATCTGCCTGCCTATAAAGCACGCTGTGTTTCGACAAGTGCTTTGTGAAAAAACATGTTATTTTTTTAAATCAATACTTTAACAAACTCTTTCATGAAAGCTCTACTCAGTCCATTAAAAACAAATGTGTGCTTGGGACCCTGAGCTTGCACGCATACTGTACCTGTGTTCAGATTATGGTTCAATAACTCGGCCTGTAGGGGTTGCGAGTGTGCGGTGGCCAAGGAGAGGGGGGAGGGTTGACTTTCCAGCCCAGTTGAACAATTCACATCTGCACCGCAGAAAATCAGGCTCAGCGTCTCCAGTACATCGCTGCACTGCACATTTATACAAAGAGCCTGGAGAAAAGGGGAGAGCAACAGACAAGGAGACACACGAGTAAACGCTCGTGTACAAAAATAACAGGCGGAAACAACTGTGTACCGTTTCTTGGCAACGACTTCTGGCTTTATAGTGCAAGTATTGAACTGAAATTCATTTTACCTCCAAATGCAGACATATCATTTATTTGTTATAGACATATAAAAAGAACTGCATTGCTCAGAAAGTAGGAGACCAAAGAGGTTGGATCAACATTAACTATGACTTAACACAGTTAAACATGGACAACAATTAAAGCAAAGCAGGGAAGGAAATGAGGGTGTGAGATGAAATTAAGACAAGGAAGGAAGGAAATATGGAGGACAGGATGAGAGCGTCGACTTGAGAAGCATTTAGGTAATAAAGAAAAAGGAGTTGCTTTTGTTCTTTTTAAGAAAGAAATCTACAATACAAGACTAATGAAAAAACTAACAAATGGTTTTAATACTGTGATCCTGCTGCAGCTGAAAAGGTTCAAATCATGTTGTTTGAAGTTCTTTCAGTTTTCAGAATGAAGTGAACTTCTGCACGCCAAACAAACTGCGTGTTTGTCTGTCAGCGTATGTGGGCTTTAAAACCTGCACGGCCTTTTGCCCAAGAACCCTCATGCTTTACTGTCAACACTGCTCCACTCCTCCTTCCAAATAGATTTAAAAACCATTAAAGTATACTCTGTGTTTTTATTGAATAACAAACATTGCAGTGTCAACAGCAATCTCCACTCATTTTATTTTGGGATTTACCGCAACTGTAGATTACTCTGGTTAGACTATATACAAAGTATTCTCAGGTGTCCTCGAGCCATTTTGGAATGATTAGATTATAAGTCCTAGCTTATGTATTTATCACTTTGTACTCTTTGTGCATGACTGCACAATTGTTTGCAGTCGTTTCCTCGTCACTGATATAACTTGAAGGAATCTTCAGTAATTTTATTACATCCTTGGATGTAATGGAAGCTGTGCAGCAAAAGGTTAAGCTGGAGACACAAAGGACTAGTGTCAAAAACCTGATCTGAATGGAAATCTAAAAACAAAACAGAATTTTTTTTTTTTTTTTACAATATATTTTTGTAAGCTGAGCATTCTTGAATCTCATAGGAAGGCTCAGACTTTCAGGAGCCTGTTTAGCTCAGTGGGTGAGAAGGTAACTATATGACACATGGCTAAAGTGCAGCAGTCTGGCTTTGAGTCTGACCTGCGGCCCTGTGCTGCGTGTCCTCGCTTTCTCTCCCTCTCATCTGGTTTTTCTGTCTGTCTTCGCTGCTCTACTGTCAAATAAAGACTAAATATGCCCAAAAACTAATCTTTAGAAGAAAAAAAATGTCTGCTTTGCAATGTAGGCATACGTACCGCTGCGGCAACCCTAAAATCTACACGCACCCTGATATTACACGTCTCATTTAACCCCCGACAACACCACCAAGGACAGAACTATCGTGACAGGTCCAGATGTCTTTACCTGCAGTAGGGAACTTTCCTGGCAGTGATCACACAAACATTTTTAACGTGCTAACAAAGAAGCTGTTGCCATCATCTCTCCTTATTAATAGCTCATGAGCGATGACTGATGTGCCATTACTGGCAAACCAGCGAAGGAATTTAAAACTCAGGCAGGTGGAATGCAGCACAAGTTGAGAAAGACGTAATCAGCATTGTGCTAACTCGCTGGAACGATGATGAATATAACTGGTGTTCACTCATATAAATAAGTTCCACAGCACTTCTTTAGACTATAAACAACAAACAAACTAACCCTGAGCACAAGGAAAGAAGAAGAGAGAATACACACCCAGGCATGTCTGTCTTCAGTTAAACGCAATAAGCTCTTTTGGGTCTGACTGAGAAATTCCCCAGTGCACACACACACACAGACACAGCCCCTCCTCTATTTAAGCACTACTGAGCTTACACACACACGCACACACGCACACAAACAAACAAGGCAATTAGCAAAGATTAGAATTGCAAAAGATACACCCACACAAACCCAAAAAACACAAAGACAAACTGCCAAAGCACCGATGGGTTGAGAGAATTTAAAACATCAAGAATTATAAATGGGGTTGTTTGCCAGAGTGACAGCACTTCCCATTCCCAAAGCCACAGATCCTGAGACATTACGCAGTCTGGCTTTGTTTCAGTCCAATGAGTCGGAGTGCAGCTGCAGACCGGGTCAAGCACTGAAAGATTTGGCAAACAAAATTCAGGGCGCTCTAAAGAGCTGCTTAAAATATCACTAGTAATTTTTTTGTCCAGGGTGAGGCCCAAAATCAGTAAAACAGGCTGTATTTTTCCTTAAAAATCCATCCATGATCTGGTTTTCATGCCCAAGTAGATGAAGTTTTTGGTCTTTAAATCTTTAAAAAGATTTAAGGCAACTTGAAAATGTTATAAAACTATACACAACAAATAAAAAGATGGGTGTAACCTGCTCTTTATCACTGATGGCAACCAAATTTTTCCACTTTTGGTCAACAACATCAAAATGACCACACTGTTTAGCTGTACCGGCCTGCAATGAAGATGCCACTGCAGCCCAACAAACACAGTCATCCGAACTCTTGTTTGACCACAAGCACAAAGCAGTTCACAGACTCTGCCATCAACAAATAAGTGTGTTATGCTCTGTGCCGATATATTTGCATGTGTATGTGTGCGGTCCGTACACAACAATGCACAAAGAGAACAGAGGGAAAAAATCAGTGCTTGGCTTCATCCCATGTGGACACCTACGCTGTGCAAAGAGCCAGTGTACAGTAATATGACAACAGCCTTTTCTTCTGTCCAGGAAAATTGAACCTATCAGAATGAAGTACAATGAGGAAATGGGCTGTTTGAGTGTTAAGAAACCTCACCCTTCAACATCTGCTGCCGATGAAACAGGCAGTAATGTAATAACGCACACAGAGAGAAGGGAATTCAAGAATCTTGCAGAATTTCCCAAGAGAGACAGAGGCAGAGAGATTTTTATCTGGGCGTGTCAAAAAAAAAAAAAGCCAACAAAAAACATAGGCCTCCATCTGGCCTCTGCATTTGTATGGGGCTGAACTGGAGGAAAAGGAAGATGAGGGAGGGAAAGGAAGAAAGAAAAATATTGTGAAAAGAAGATGAAAGCATTTCAGTCAGCCACATTAATCAGAGACAGATTGTTTTTGGCTAGAAACTCAACCTATGTACAGACAGCGATACTAACACATGCAGGCTTTGCTGTGTAGACTTTAGCACGAAATACCCCAAACTACACACACACTTACAGATGTGTATGTACGTGCATATATTAAATCCAGATGAGAAAGAGCTATTCGCATATGTTCCATCATTACCTCACCGTGTGTAGCTTAAAGAGAGAGGGAGATGGTCAGGGAGGTGAAAATCCAGACAGAAAAAGGAGGGCAGAGAAAAAAAAAAATGATTTGAAGGAAAAATCATTTTCCTTCAGAGTTCCAGACAAAAAAAAGGAGGGAGGGAAAAAAGCACTGCAAAATAAACAAGAAAGGAGATCACATGTTGAGCCAATCTCCCTGTAGAAATCGAAAGGATTTATAACCTGAAATCCTAAAGTGTGAATGAGGACATGATGGGAATGGTCGGAAAACAGAAGAATTAAATAGGAAGAATGAGCAAAAGCAGAAAACAAAAGGAGAAGGTATGTGATGAAGAGCTCTTCTTATAAGGAATCCAATTACAAAACTTTAAAAGCATAAAAAACAAGGCCGTAAAGAGATTTTTAATCCTGTACCTTAGTTGTTAGTTTGCTATGATAAAATACCAACAACATGCTGATAGCCAACAGCACACAGTCAAGGAGACCTGGGAAAGCAGAGTGGCCGTCAACTTTTCAATAACCGATTGCTTTATTTTCTCAAATGTCACTAAAATAGCCACAAAGTTATGAAAAAAAGTTAAACTATGACAACTATCCCCAACTCAAACACAGAGGGACTATCAAACTGTCTGCATTAAACAACTCTATGTCACACTGTGCACTTCATTATGAAACGTCATCTATGCTCTGTCACTTCTTCCCTTTCAAGGAAACCACGAGCCAACAAAGCCTTTAATGTCAACCTAAAGGCCATAAAAAGCTTCAAACTGTTTAACAGGAAGATGGCAACGCCACAGAGGAAGAACAACTCATGGATGACTGTTACTTTATTCTTAACATGCAGGTGACTAACATTCAATAGATGTCTTCTAAAAACAGATGCAGTTGTGCCTACAACTGCATCTGTTTTGTTTCTGTAAGAAGGAAATGCAGAGTATGGTTTTTCCAGGGAATAAGAAACCCAGTGTAAAACTGTGGTCACAGCTAGAGTTCACTACTTGATGCAACTGAGAAAAATTAGGAAGCCACAGTAACAACAGAGGAAGAACCAAAAGAGACAAAACAGGAGACGACGATCATGATTTACAGATGGAAACATACAAGCACACAAAAAGAAAGCAGTACAGACCAAATACAGAAAAGGCACACAACCATGCCCACGCAGGCAAATTCATGTGCATTTCAATGTGTTGCAGCTCACTCCAGAGATAAAAAAAAAACCCCATACACACACAGACACACAATAGCTCTAATGTCTCACTAACACAGAGCTGCAGTGCTGCAGTCCCCATAGTGTCAACACAAAAATGTTTCCCACAGACACATTCAAGCACATGACTGCACACACATACTGTCAGAGATCTAAAATCCACTTCCACACATCGCTTTAAACGAACCACCCCTGAAATGCAAGGTTGTGCTCTTTTTCTTAACAGAGCTAGCCTAAAAGGACTCAGAGAGCTGCAAAAACAAGGCATATTTCACTACCCTGTCCTACAGCTCCCCTCTTATACATAGCCCAACCTGGAAGTTCTCAGTTCCCGTCAGTCAGTCCGCTATTTGAATGTCAGTTGACAAAGACAGCCCGGAAAAGTTGCAAATGTAAAAGTCTGAAGCTCAAATCAAAAAGAAAATTATAAAAAATATAAATGACTTGCAAATAAGAAAAAAAGAGCAAGGAGTGAAGTGATCAAATTTCTTCAGCGGTCAGAGTCAAACAATGTGTAGGACAGGAGGAGGAGGAGGAAAACAGAGGGAGGGGTGGAGTTACAGCACATTCCAGTTAAATCAGTAAGTAATGATGTCACATTAAGGAAAAAAGTAAAAACAAAGAAGAAAGCGAGCAAGAGAAGTGGGGTTAAAAAGCCAGGAGTAGATAAATGACCCTGAATTAGCTAAGGGTGCTGCTGCACTCACAGAGTGTGCAAGCATGTTTTTGTCTTCATTTCACACTCTTGCACACTTACATCACCTTTTTTGTCACCAGCTGACACATGTGCAGAGTGTACAATTTCTGAAAGGCACACCCAAGCAGAAGCAATGCTCATCTGTATTTTTCTCATGAACAGGAAAAAAACAAACAAGTAGAGCAGCCATTTAAGTAATCACCTCTGAAATGGGGGTGGAGTGGTGTGTGTGTGTGGGTTTGTGGGAAGGGGGGCATGAAAGCTGTAGGAAAGTCCAACAGATCACGTCCTCTATAGGTCCCAAAGACCCAAGAGAGAGATAAGAAAAGAGCAGAAAATGGAGCCATCAGGGAGGAGGACAAGCAGCTGCTTTTAAAACAAAAACTAAACAACTTCCTTTATCTCATTCTGCACATCCCAAACACAGTGACTCACACTCACTCACACACACAAATGTAAAAGCTTAACGGCTTGAGGGGGAAAAACACATAGCTCACAGTCAGGTGCTAAATGTGACTCATTTACACACCAAGTTTATCTGTGACCTGTACACATTGTTAGCAGTAACTGGGTTAAGCTCCTAAGAAGTGACCGAGCTGGGTCTGAAACACTCAGTCATTAATCACACATGATGGAGCCCAGTATAAAAGCTATGGCCATTCCATGGCCACTCACATTTCCTGATTCTAAACAATACTAACCAACTAATGTGTCATCTTCAAGCAAAGCGTCGCCCACCACAAGTACACAAAGACACCGCGGTTGTCACATTTAAAAGAGTCGTTGCTCAGAGTCGGTTCTGGGACCTTGCAGAGTTGCAAGTTTGAAAAAAATGACTCAGAAGCAGGGATTTCACAGGGTTTAGTCCTGAACCTGCATTAATCAGTCTTTAATTCTTCTCTAAAATTGAGGTTTGCAAAATTACTTCAAGTGATAGAGCGTGTTTCACAAGTTTAACCAGTTTTTTTAGTCTATAAACCCAACAAAGTCCCACAAATGCCTTAAAAACAAGAAAAGTGTCAAATGTTGTAAGACTGGATCAACCAGCTGCAGAAGCATACTGGCTGCTTTACTGTAAGTATCTAAGTGTTAAATAACACTTTCGCCACAGTCACAGGATCTTACCATGTATTTACACAAAGGAACGTGCTTATTTTTATGCTCTTTCTATTGGCTTCAAAGGAAATTCTGCATATTATTTTAAGTTACTGCTCAAAACAAGAACTCTGAACAGAATCATCAACTTCGAGGTGCAAACCAAGGATGTCAAACTCATTATACACAAAGGCAGCCCACTTTAATCTTAAGGGGTAAAGATCAAAGTAAAACTATATGATAAATCTGTATTGCCCAGACTATCCAGTACTTATAAAATATGAAGTTTGCATTAATGAAAATGTCCTTATAGTGAAAATACAGAAACTTCCCTGTCGTTTAATTATGTTAGTTAATTACTTTGATTCCGTATGAAGGAATCAATCAGCAGGATAAGTTGAAAAACTTGTTTTACAACTACAGTTAAAAAAAAAAAAATCAAAATCGATGCATACCTTCATACTTTTAGTGGGTGGATTTGAGTATTACTTGGCCAACTCTGTCCCCCAGGCCTTATATTTGACAAACCTAGGAGGCATTTTTGCATGCTTTTGCATATGCCAAAACTGTTAATATATTTTTTCCACTCACCAATTAACCCCAGTATAATATAACAAGAAATGCAATTTTTCTTCACAGTACCAGTCCAAATAAACTGCATGTAGAGAATGCTGAGGCACCAATCTGACAAAGACAACAAAAACATTCCTGCTGCACTGAAGATTCCCACTAGCCCCCATATTTCTTAAACAGACATTAGGAACAAATGGGATCATTTTGTAATGCTGGCTGCCTGCCAAGCTAAGCAATTAGAGAACCAAGGGCTTGGAAGGAGGGGTGACCAAAAAGAAGATCCTGTGTGGAGATAGCTGCCTTTCTGGAAGTTTCTCCTGTCAGTGCAGTAGTTTTTCCTAAATGAAAGGCATACAAAAACCTGCATGGGATTCAGGAAAAAAAAAAAAAACAACCTCAAGGATCCTGATACTGTGAGAAACGAGATTCTCTAGCATGATAACAGCAGTCAGGTCTGAAGGAAACAAGACACTATTCAATACTATCCCAGCCAGGAAGTGTGGTGGTGGCAGCATCATGCTGTGGGGGGATTTTTTTTAAGCAGGGACAGGATGACTCATCTGGGCTTATGAACACCGAATGATGCTAAGTACACAGATGACCTAATGAAGGCAATAATGCACCTGGGCAGCGTCTCAGACTAGTATGAAGGTTCATCTACCAACAGGATAATGGGAAAACTGATCCTGAAGTCGTGAGCCGGCTGTTTGTGACATTCAAGGCTCCGGTTGCCTAGGTAACCCTCTAGTGACTTTATTATCAGGTCATATGTTAATCAACAGTATTCTTCAGTCTGGTACTTTCAATCACACAGAAACAGGAAAAGTTTATTTAGGGCCCCGCCCACTACTCATAGCAAGCGGTTATTTCCCTCATGGAAAGATTACGGAAAGTCATTCACTCTCTCTGGTTTCCGGTTGGCACCTCGCTTCCAATGTGGACACATTTTAAGGCCCCATCCGCACACTCAGCTATTCGCTTGTCACTTTACATCACTTTACACTTTGCAGATGCTCACTAGCAGAAATTTCTGGCAATGCAGTGCGCAGATTCAGAATTAAACACAACGGTATCACAAGCAAACTGTGACTTTGACTTACGTGATTGAGCTCCCTCTGGTTTCCATACAGAGCGTGGTACCTCCTGTATTTGCCCTGGCGATATTTGTTGCTGATGAAGCGTCTTCTCTCTTCGCTGCAGCTCGAAGGCGACAGAGCTTCACTTGGTGGGACATTAGCTGCCCAAAAACTGTTAGCCCGCTCGTTGCCTATCACCAGGAATAACTGCGACAAGGGCAGGGTGAACAGGAAAATAAATAAATAAATAAAAAATGAAGAGAAGTACTTCCACACTTATTCTATCTTTCTTCTGTAGCACTTACTAGATCAGATTACTGACACTTCTGACCTGCAGGTTTATAAAACAATATAATGAAACCCACACAAAACCACCGGTAACTACTGCCTCGGAAACTTCCACAGAGATGAAACTAAAACTAAGCTGTCTCAGCTCCAAAATGATTAATTGCAGAAACATTATATTTGAACATACTAGTTAATTAATCTTAAGACTTTAAATATTTAAAGAAACTGGACATAAATCCTTGTCTTTGGAGTCTGTTCTAATTTTTATATCAAAAACATCTCAACAATTAATTAGAGAGAGAATTTCTATTTGTACCTGAATAAGCTCTTCTGTCCAAACTTTCTTATCCATCTTCAGACTTCGAACTTTTGAAATGCTAGGGCCTAGTCCTCTGTGCTCCCCTGGAATAACACACATACACATATTAAAGCCAAGTTCAATCTTGACCATATTATAAGCTCTGTACGGACAACCAAATAACTCTTTACAAACAGACAAAAAACAAACAACAAGTGCAGTGAAATGATTGATTTTTTAATATTTCAAGGCAAAAATCACTGCTGACCAAAGAGAACACGCAGGCTACAACTAGTCATTAGGTTTAGGAGGTAATTACTTTCACACAGGGCCAGGTAGCGTCACCTAAAAACAGCATTGTGTTTTAGCAAAGGGTCAAATACATTTTCACAGCACTGTACAATTACTGCCCTGTGGTTTTATGCCTCTGCCAAACAGCACAACCAACCAACCACACACTGATATCAATGTGTGTCCAGGCTTATTTCACCTTAGTAGAAAAAGACTTTATTTACTAGAAAAATCTATTAAGTGTCTGCATACTAAAAAAATAGAGGTGCAACAAAATCGGAGGTGACCGCAGAGAAGCTACAAGTCCTAAAGTACGGCTGCCTCACACATGATTATCAGAAGCACACATAATTCGGCCAAGAGTTTAAAGGTGGGTAGTAGAAGTGGGTGACATAGCCTGACATTTATATCATGATTCTTTAAATTAGAATATTAATATTTCCTGTGATAAAAAAACAAAAAACATGCCCTTTAAGAATGGCCCAAAAAAGTATTTTTTAGGAAATGATATGAGTGAAAAACAGAAGTGAGCTCTGACCACTAACATCTAAATAGTCCCTGAGAACAACTGAACATTTGTCCTAAACTGGAGTGTTTTCCTAAAGAACTTCCTGAAATATCACATCTATGACAACTGATGGCCACGACAAAACAAAGTCACAATGCCTCTTGTGCTGGAAGCCACATGTTAATTCTGATACTCAGCAACTAAAAGTCAAAATGCTGCTAAACACATAGTATTCACACTGACAGCCCAAAGCACCGCACAAAAACAAAATCAGAACACACAAACCTGCGCACTGTTTGCACACCACCACACACAAATTGATGGCGGCCCACTCCGGCTTCGGTGCTTCACAGTCGGCGCACAGACTGTTGCTAGACTCCGCCCAGATCCGCTCAGCCACCTCGCTGTTAGACAATGCCTCACCTATCGCGTCTCGCATAGTATTCACCCACTGCTCTCTCATCTGCTCTGACTCTGCGATGAAGCTGCGGAGAGAGGCAAGCATATGGACGAGTGTTAACGCTGACATGAAGGTGAGAAATGACGCTTAGATCGCTGTTGTTACGCTAAATATACTCAAGACCTGGAAACCACATAAACTCACAGAGGCAGACAAGCTTCCTCTTTTCACCCTGTCTGCTGCATGCTCAGTTTATCTTCCCTTAAATTAGTAATACATATAAATATACTTTACAGAAATAAATTGAGTAATTATTTCCTGCCCTGAAATATTTCTGGATGTTACATGGGAACAAAAGCACAAAACCACAGATACAGTACTTCAAATACAGTAAAAACACTAAATACGGTACTTTAAAATACAAATCATAACATTAGCTTAACAACTTAAATAAAAAGTTGAATCATGAATTTCAGAATAAATCAGTATCAGCTGTATTAGTATACAACTAAATAAATTGAGTTAAATCAACAAAAATACAGATAACTGCCATTTATTTGGGTTTTGGAAATGTAATGGAAAATCTGAGCACTGGCAAAGAATTACATTTTTGTCCAGATCTGAATCATTGTCTTTTCTTATTACCAATTTCTTTCATTTACATTGCTGATGTAGACATAATGAGAGAAAAAAAATTCTTTTTAAACATTTCTAAATCTTCAACCTTTCTTATTATTACCAGGTCTGAATGAAAATGAGACTCTTTCACATATGTTTACAGTCAAGAGACTCAGAGCCAGTACACTAGTCCACACAAACACACATTTCCCCATCCTGTCATGCTGAGACCCTGCACTACAGGCGCAGGCTGTGAACTGTCAGCCAAAAGACCACACACCACATGCACTCATGCACAAACATATCCCCTGCACTTCTTCGCACAAAAACACGCACACACACAGTCACACAAAAGACTTTTCACATTCTTGAAAGACGACCAGCTGAGGATTGAGGGACTGTGGGAGAGTTCTCACTAAAACAATATGACCTTGTAACCCAGCAACTCAACTGAAGAGCAACTCAGATGCTGATAATGAGGAATGATCATCGTCTCTAAACTGTCTAATTAGCATATCCCACAGTTGATCTCACATAAACAGTTTTATATAAATATTATATATTTATATAAACCCAACTGCTTAATTACTGCAATAAGAGGTGTGATAGTCACACAAACATGGGAAAGGTGTGAGAGCAGATTTCATTTCTGTGTGCATGCAATACCTAAATATGCGATAAGGTGTGGTGAGATCAAAGCTTCGGCGATCTGAGACCTTAATGTTTCCTACATTCATCTCAATAGACGTGATACCCAATCCAATACGATAGTCCTGTAAGAAATGGAAGATGAAATGTAAATTACACTGTTCCAACAAATCAAAAAAACAAAAACAAACAAACAAAAAAAACATTTCTTATAATTCTAACAATCATTAAAGTAAAGAAAACAAAATGCAATTATCTTAAGTACAAATCTGTACACACAGCTGCACCCAGAGTTCTTACATCAATATTTTTGTAGAGGAAAACTTTATCTGAGGCAACAACTGTGTAAAGTTTGGAGCGTAACCCTTTTAGCTCCAAGTAGCCCTGATAGTCTGGGGCTAAAGGTGAGCCGGGGTTCATGACAGTGTGCCTTTGGCGCCCACTGGTGCAATCCTGCAGTACAGTCACCCATTCATTTCGTTCAGCTGCAATGAGAGCGCATAGGCATGTCAGATCAGACATGAACGTAGTAAAATCGGCACCCACAAATATATATATGAACTGAGTTAACTGCATATTTTGAGACATGGGAAATAACTGTCTGTACAAGTGTAAGCACATATATAGCTGGGTGAACAGACATACCTTCACTTTCAGCCCTAAAGATGAAGGTTCGATTGTTTGTAACAACTTCAAACTTCAGCTCCCCCACAGTGGTCACATTAGTGATGAAAGCTGTTGAGATGATCCCCTTAGAATACACGTCCTACAACACAAGATAGCACAACACACACTCAGCATCTCAGATTAGTGCTGCAGCTATCGATTACTTTAATGATCAGTTATTTCATCAATTAATCAAGCGATCAGTGAATTAAAAGCAATTTAAAATTAACCACTCATTGGTTTCAATATTAATTGCAGTGTTTTAGGTCATTTAAATGCATATAACTTCATTGTATTTACGTACCATTAAAAGTCATATTTATTAAACAAAACATTTTCATAAATGCAAAAAAA